GACTTTTGCAAGAGTAGTTAACATTTCATGCTATTTTTTTAAGAATATAGAAAAAATTTTCACTCTTCTGTTAGTGGACATGAAACCCACCAAAATCGAAAAATCTAAAAAAAAAATTACATAGCGCACTTTGCAAGTGGACCACTCAATTGTTGAATATGCTATCTTATTTGTCCCTTCTTTTTATACAATTAAGGAGCGGCTGAATGGTTTAACGATGTTAGCGGTACATAATGATGTGCGGATTACAACACAAGAAGTAATTGAAAAAATGTGTGTTCAGCAGCGAAGATTTATAAGTAACAAGATTTTGTAGACTTATACATAAATAAATGTAAATAGATACGCGTAAATATATAAATATGCAGATATATTCAATGTGTAAAAACTGAAGTGTATACTAACGAAACTTCTACAAAACAAAACTGGACTACACACTAATTAATTAAAATGGTGTAGAAATTTAATTTTTAAAATTTAAATAAAGCATGAATTTCCCATGGAATAACCAAGTAGACAAAAAATATATAACGGTAAAAATGGCTCATATATACATATATGAAAGAATGCCCACAGGCGAAGCCTCTAGCCATTGTGTGTCGCAACTGTTACTAATTAAACACGGAAAGTCACGATTTATCAATACAATTTATTATTCACCCGCTTATCTGTGCACAGTTAAGAAGTTAAAAAGAGTTTCCTCGCCTTTTATAGTAAATTTAAGGAATTTAAAGTACCGTACAATGATTTTTCAACGAAACAAACAAATGTAGCCACAAAACAGAAATGAATGACAAGAGAGTGAACAGGATTGCCAGGCGATTACGAAATAACAGAAAATAAAGTTAACTAAGAGGTTGCAGCTTCAACATCCTGTCGTCGGTCGAGTCGGTTGACTCGAAATCCTCAGGCTCCAGTAGGAGGCACAGCTTCTGAACAGCTCGAGTCATGCATTCGCCGGAAGTTCTTAATGTGACATTGCGCAACGCTCCGTCAGCGCACGGATGTACTCCCATGACGCGACCCATGCGCCAGTGAGTCGGAGGCAAGTTCTCAATCTTGACGAGTACGATATCGTTGACCTTGATGTTAGTGGTGCGCCGTTGCCATTTGTGGCGCCTCTGCAGAGTGGTCAGGTACTCCTCACTCCACCGCTGCCAAAACACTTGTTGAACCTGCCGTACCTATTGCCAATGTTTCAGTCGGTTGTTGTGAATATGTTGGAGGTCTGGCTCAGGGACCGCTATCAGCGGAGCCCCAATCAGGAAATCACCGGGTGACAGCGCGAATTTATCTTCCGGGTCGTCGTACAGTGGCGTAATTGGACGTGAATTCAGGCATGCTTCGATCCGGGTATCCAAGGTCTGAAATTGACTATGCCACATGATTTGCGAGCCCACACAGCGGACCAAGTGATGCTTTGCCGACTTAACGGCCGCCTCCCACAGCCCACCTTGATGCGGGGCACTAGGTGTAATGAAGTGCCAATTGGTACCCGATCCCGCTAACAATCGCTGGTTGTTTTCACTATGCCATACGGCGAGGTCTTCACGTAATAGTCTGTTAGCACCAACAAAGGCAGTGCCATTATCACTGTATAGGTCGCTGCAAGGACCTCGGCGGCTGACGAAACGGGTGAAGGCGTCAAGGAAAGCTGGTGCGGATAGATCGTCCACGACTTCAATATGCACGGCTTTGGTGACCATGCATACGAAGATGGCTAGGTACTTCTTGATGAACTTGCGTGAGCGCTTCGTGCCGACCCGCAGTGTAAAAGGGCCACAGTAGTCTACCCCGGACGAAACAAATGGTCTCGCAGGATGTGGTTCTTATCTAAAAATGGATTCAATGAGAGTATTTTAGTACCGGAGAACAAACCTGAACTGGACTTCAACTGTTGAATGTCAGCAGCAAAGTGTTCCCCTTGCTCTAGACGGATTAGCGTGTATAGGGCGTCATCTAGTTCCTGGGCACTGACCACAAGTTGACGAAAGTGTCGACGTCCCTTCAACCAGCGCAGCATGATGGCCACTGTACCCAGCAGGCGTTGAACTGAACTAAACCGGGTGATCAACAACATAATGTGTCCATTTGAGCGACGGGTATTCATAGGCTGCGCAGGAGTACTATTGACTGACATATACTTCGCCTTTCGGCAAGGAGCTCGTCCGACTCGGCCTGACTAAGAGGGATCTCGGGCTGGTTTGAGGGAGCGCTGCCTATCACACCAGGACCATGCCACCAAAGCGGGTAAACTAAGAGTTCTTCGGGTGTAATGCCTCTGCTGGCACAATCAGCAGGGTTCTGTGCTGAACGAACGTAGTACCATCTGTCTGGGGATGTCAGTTTCTTTATCCTGCGAACCCGGTTGGATATGAACGGCTTAAGTGTTGTTGGATGCTTCTTCAACCAGCACAAAACGGTCGCCGAGTCCGACCACAAATAGTATGGAGCATCTATTAATCCCAGCGAGTCCCGCACATTTTGAATAGTTTCAGCCAACAGTAGTGCTGCCGACAGTTCCAGGCGAGGTATAGTAGCGCCCTTCAGAGGTGCCACCTTCGTGCGAGCTGTAAGAAGTGAGATGTGCGCAACACCGCCTACGTCAACAGTTCTCGTATAGATGACGGCAGCATATGCTTGTGAGCTGGCATCGCAATAGCCATGCAACGTTGTCTGAACACGCTGAATCATGCCCATCCAACGGTTGATGCGGATCTTATTGAGCCCCTCTAGCTTGGAGCGGTACTTGAGCCATTCGTTGCAAAGATCGTCATGTAACGGCGAATTCCAAGATAAACCCGCAGCCCACATCCTCTGGACAACCTTCCCAGTTACAACGACAGGTGATAATAACCCAGCGGGATCAAAGAGACGCGCCACCTCGCTAAGTACTCGTCTCTTCGTGGGAGCCTCGGAGGATTGGTTTAGGTCGACTTGGAAAAATAGCTGATCCGTCACTGCGTCCCATCTTAAGCCTAATACGGAAGCCACACCAGAATGGAAAGTATAGCTAGAAAGAGACGCTTCATTAGATAAATAGCTCGTCCCCTGGCCATCGTTGGAGTTCCATTTTCTTAGCGTAAATTTTCCCGCGGATAAAATAGTATCTACGTTTCTAGCCAGTTCCACTGCATCGGACGCGCTCTCACAACTAGTGAGGAAATCATCTACGTAAAATGTTAGAATCGCATCTCGAGCGAGGACCGCCTGCCGCCTATCCGGAACTGAACCATAATTATCATAAGCGCATTGCTGCAACGTGCGCACTGCGTTATATGGACTGCATGCCATGCCATATGTAATGGTCTTCAATCGATATACGCGAATATCATCGGCCGGGGACTCGCGCCAAATAATCCTCTGATAGTCTCGATGCTCCGGCGCAACCAACACTTGCCTGAACATTTTCTCGATGTCGGCCGTTATCGCCACTCGAAAACGTCGGAAGCGAAGAAGTATGCTACCAAGCGAGTCCTGAAGCGCTGGGCCCACCAGTTGAACATCGTTTAGGGAGACTCCCGAGCTGGTCGGCGCCGAAGCATTGAACACCACGCGGAATTTGGAGGTGACCGCATGATGTGGAATATAGTAGCAATTATGGTGATACGGTGGTTCGACTAGCTCCATATGTTCGAGAGTTGCGTACTCCCGCATGAATGCCACATAGTTTTCTCTACCAAGCGACGCTCTAGTCTACCAATTTGGCGCGCAGCAGGTGCATACGAGTCACCAGGCTTTGGTGCATTTGTCGTAGAGGTAGGTGCACAATGTAACGGCCGTCCGCAGTGTGGCTATGAGTAGCTTCGAAGATCTGGGCACAGTCGTCAACGTGTTGATTGTCGGCCGCCGCAATTTCATCCATCTCTCAAAACCTGTGGAGCAGTTCTTCTAAACGGACGTCGTCCTCACCCGGTAACGCGCTGAGTGCGAGCGATGATACTTTCGAAGTAAAAGACACTACTTCCGGACCAAACACTACTCAACCAAAGCGGGTACGCTGGGCGAAAAGTTCGTCTGGTCGTCCACCGATGAATTCACGCTCTAAGACTCGCCCCACACGTCCGCGCCGATGAGAACGTCGATAATGCCAGGCGTACTAAACCGATCGTTCGCCAACTGAAGCCCTCTCAAGTACGGCCACTGGTTCACGTCAATATTCACCGCCGGAGTATGAGAAGTAACGGACGGTAAAACCCTGGCCTCAATTTGCATCTCAACCCCAGTTTTCGTTGACCTCAAAGTGAGTGTAACGCTGCCCTTCACTTGTGTATTGACGGCAGCCCCTACCTCTTCTACCAGCAGGTCACATTTCCGTCGGTATAACTGCAAGGAGTTTGCTAGGCGATCCGTCACGAAGGTAACCTGCGATCCAGGATCGCATAGGATACGAACCACACGCTAAACCGATGCTTCCCCAAAGACATATGCACGCGCTGTTGCTAGGAGGGTTATCGGCTGATATCTGTCCGCGTGGGCTCTCGCAGGTGCTGCTGGTCATGCAGCTGAAGTTGTTGGCGCCTTACCAGGTGCAATTTTCGATACGGGTGTCGTGGACGTAGATTCAGGCGCAGCTATGTTGACGAACCTCTCGCGGCATAAGATAGTATTGTGTTTACGGCCACAATTCCGACAACTTCCCGCCGTTCACGTTGTTCAATGTTCATGGCTGACAGCGCTGAACACTTAGAAATTCGATGCGGAGCACCACAATGCGCACACTGTGCCCGCTCAGCGCTAGCCACACGCGCCTTCACCGATCGTTGCTGACGAGAGGCCACTAGAATGGCCGATGGTTCAGGCGATATACTATGAGCACGCCTTTCCAAAAACCTCAGCAAATCATCCAGCAGTGGAATATCGGTTGTGGTACACTTCATACACCAGTTGTGCTTGGTTACAGCCGGAAGCTTGGACACAACAATAGGCACAGCAAATGCATCCCATTGACATACAGGGACCTCCATAACCCGCAATGCTCGCAACGACTCTTGCACTGTGTAAAAAAGTGCTTTTTATTGTCGTAACGCTCTTTAAGAGCCTTCCATACTTCCTGATAGCCACCCGAGTATATCCCTCCAATTAATGGCACTTTGGAGGCGTTAACTGCTTGGCGAAGTTTACCCAACTTGAATGCTTCCGGGTACGCAGAGTTATGGACGAGCGTTTCAAACGCATCCTTGAACGCCAACCACTTGTACATATCCCCGTCAAATGGGGGAATAGCCAACGGGTCAAGTTTAAGATCTACCGAACAACCATCCAAAGTTGCTCGCACCTTCACTGGCGTTGGAATCTTCCACTGACGTCGCAATAAGGCGGTTGAGTGTGCTACATGCCTCACCATAAAGCTCCTCCACACTTTCCCATAGCGAATCATGCGTAACCATTTCTGAGGGTGCAGCTTCTCCAACAAGATGGTTATGGTTATCAACGAATCGCCCAAAATGTGTCTCCATCGACTTCGGCTCTTGTTGAAGTTGGAATACATCCCGACCATCATCGCCACCATCTCTTACACGGGCATGTATGCGTTTTATTGCTTTCACAGCAGATGCGCGCAAGTTAAGTTCCGCCATGCCTCAAAAACACAAAAAACAAATTTATTTGTCCTCACAGGAGGCACCAAAATGTTACTAATTAAACACGCAAAGTCACGATTTACCAATACAATTTGTTATTCATCCGCTTATCTGTGCACAAGAAGAAAGTTAAAAAGAGTTTCCTCGCCTCTTATAGTAAATTTAAGGAACTTAAAGTACCGTACAATGATTTTTCAACGAAACAATCAAATGTAACCACAAAACAGAAATGAATGACAAGAGGGTGAACAGGATTGCCAGACGATTACGAAATAACAGAAAATAAAGTTAACTAAGAGGTTGCAGCTTCAACAACAACTTTAAGTTATCGATGCAAATTTTTTTAATCCCCCCTTCGCCAAATCCTGGCTATGCCACTGCCACCTTTTATAAATTCGCCTTGGCCAAAGGTATGTATTTATTGTAATTCTTAATGTCATTACGCGGAGAATTTGTTAGTGGTATTTTTATTTTTGAACTTCTGCTGTCACCTTATGTGACAGCCTTGGAATAAATATTATATTATTATGAAAAACAAAATATGTATTTCACGCCAATAAACCATTCAACAAAAAACGTATACATACGTATGTACATAAAACTGCGCCCAAATCATGGCATCTGTGATCCGTAGTCTCAAAACTAAATTTAAATTCAAATTTGATTTGATCACGGATGCATTCATGCTGGCCCTGTATTGCATTAAAACAAACAATTATAGCCCTGACAGACATGTGGTTTGTACACCATGGTATGCATACTATGGATTTTGATACTATTTCGATGAGACACACATCTAGTACGTATACCGATGTTTTGTTTCTTTATCACAACTGATAGCATGTATGTATGCCATTTTGCTCGCGCTGCTCTTACAGTCGCAATGGCCGAGTGAACAGACCGCTAGAGTGCCACTAGAGAGATCCGAGTTCGAGTCCCCGGGAAGAGTTTTTTTTTAATGATATATTTTTTTTAATTCCTTTTTAAATAATCTGAAGATTTTAATGTTAAAAAAAAACATTTTTATTCATTGACTTTTTTTGATTTAAAGTCCGAGGTTTATTTCATAATGAAATTGTTGTTAAACAAATATTTCCTCGCTTCATTTACGTGTTATTTTAAATAAAATAGGAAGCAATTCTCTTTTCCTCCATATCTTTCTTTTTGAGACTTAAACGTGAGACAGCTTACTGAATACCAAGGTAAATATTTCAAAAAAAATATGAAGGAAAAGATAATTCCTTTGTATTTTATTTTAAAGAACGCGAAAATGAAGGGAGGAAATATTTGTTTAAGAACAATTTCATTAAAAAATAAACCTAAATAAGTGCTTTAGTATCATACAAATTCAATGAAAAAAATTTTGTTTAAAATTATTATTATTATTATTGTTATTATTATTATTATTATTATTATTATTCTTTATTGATGAAAATAAAATATTCCACCAACATTTCTAGCGCATTCGCTGCTGACTTTTATTAAAAAAAAAAAAAAATAAAAAACACAAAAAAAAAAAAATTTATAATAAAGAAAAAAAATCACCTACGCAAGGACTCCATCTCGGACCTCTCAAGTGACACTCTAGCGCTCTGATCACTCGTCCATTGCGACTGTTGGACCAGCGCGAGCAAAATGGCATACACACATGCTATCAGCTCACTGTCTATGTTTGTTTTTACCACACATGTTTGGTAAACTTTTTTTTACTCTCTGGCTGTGTTTCATGGTATAATCGCTTTATACCACGTTCATTTTCGTAGTATAGGAACCAGCTTCAAACCACTTGGTACGATGGTATAATTGTGGTTTACAACGACAGACATGTAGTATAGAATGCTAGTATAGTATATAAACCATATGTCTATCAGGGCTATTAGTCTGCACTTCAAAATTGTTTGATTAAAATTAGTTTTGAAATGGATGAAGTTCGCACACCATTCTTTCGACAGTCTCTCACGAAAAACGTATTACAAACGAAAAATATTTCCATAAAGAGCTAATAGAGATTCGATTTTACTTTTAAATTGGTTATGGTCAGAGTTTATTTTTCATATTTAGCTCTGATCCAGCACTCCATGTACTTACAGGTTTTTACACGAACTTGCTGGAAGTTACAGGAAAAATTTTTCCGTACTCAAAAATCCTGTAAATGAGAGCGATTTTTGGAGAGTTGTGTAGATAATGAAAAGTTTCAAGCGATCAGCTCTTTGACGTTTTTACAAGAAAAATGCTTTTTGTTCCCGTACTTTTTGGTTGTTACTTATTCACTTTTTACTCTCACTTCAGAGAGTAATTTTATTGTTTGACATTTTTACAGGATTTTACACGAAATGTATTGGGTAAGAGCTTTTATTTTAGGTCTGTTCGATGACAAAATATGTACAGACTGTGCTTATTTAAATCTGCATGCTTTTTTCCGGAAAACATTGGTAGATTTTTAACCTTTGTTGGTAAAAATGGTAGAAAATACAATAGAGCTAAAAAGTTGGTAGATCTACCAATAAAGTGGTAAAGTCCGTGCACTGATTATTGCTCTGAGACAGGCATTTAAGAGAGTGAGTAGGACATTAAAAACAGGAGTTTCACATATTGTTAGAATTGCTAAAAACTTAAAAAGCGACCGGCTTGGTCGATATAAATTAATGGCGTTTTCTTTTTTCGAAATAATGTTGGACAAAAATAATTTGTAATCAGTTTACCAGTCTCTGTTTTTATGATTTACTTAACGAGTGGTGTAAAGCTTTACTACGTATAACCTTTATTAACTAAAAAAAATAATGATTTTACTTTACACTTGCGATTTCTTTAAATAAAACATGTAAATTTAAGTTGAAACATTTTAGCCGTTTGAAACGACTACTGATGCCGCGCGACTAAGAAGGTGCTTCTCGAAAATCCCGGCTCCTCCCGGTTTTCTTAAAAAGTCAGGAGGAGGGCACACCGAAAGCAGCCTTGAAACACTGGAACACCTTATGGACGTCCACTTCCCTGGCTGCGGTGACGCAGGTGACACAGGAACTCCTGTGATAGAACACCCCAGTACCC